AGTATTTTGTTATCGAATCATAGCAGGACTGGCTCCATTTTTTTAATTTTCTGCCTCGCAAAAATAATGAATTCAAATTAACCGTAAATTTTCGAACTTTCAATTGCTCCCTCCGGAGGGTAGACAATTATAATTCGATTTGAAATACTTTTTTTGTTGAACTCACCGTTTCCGAGAAAATAATATTTACCTTCGCAAAAATGCTGTTTAGATGTGCGTTTTTTTTTGAAACCATGAAGAACAATATTTCAAGGTCAGTTTTCCTATCAAAAATCCTTAATTATATATATAAAATTGACTCCTTAATTTTGATAAAAACGCACGGATTTGTTCAAAATAATGGTCGTCTCTATAGAACTGATAATATTTCATATTGATGGTTATTCCCATGGACGTATAAACAATCCGCATAATTCATATCAGTCCAAATTTGGCAACTAATAGCTGAGATAAAGAGGGCAGTGGCATGGCCAGAAATATATTTCAGGGGAGGGGGCCATTCCTGATTTTAATTGATTTGTAAGTAAATATTTAAAAAAATCAATAAATGAGCAAATCTAGGCTCATTTATTGAAAACAAATAACAAATGGAAGAAGACAATGAAATGAAACAACATTCTAATAAAATAGCGGATAATCTGGAGTAACTGTAAGTAACCAAAAAAGGAATGTTGAAGAAAGTGTAATTTCAATTTCAACTTGATATGGCAACTATTACACTCTACAGGGTATCACGAATTTCAGGAAAAAACACCCGATAATTGCTGCACCCGGTATGTATAAAAGAGGTTTTTATGTAAAAACAGTTTACACACCATTGTTCAGAAGAAGATAACCTGTCATTAAAAACAAAAAACGCCCGGAAAAGTAGTTTTGACGAAAATGGATCTCATACTTTTGGCTATACCTACTATTTGGTGCTGCGTTAATTTCTGAAAAAAAGTGTATTTCGTTCTATACAACTTAAGTGCAATTCGTCGATTGGTTTGGCGAAATATATCAATAATTTCATTAGTATCGATTTGAATATTACGATGAATAATCATTAGGGGTAAACTTGTTTTGTACGCTCATCAGCTGAATGATTTCTCAGATAAGTTTTTAGTCTCTTCAAAGTTGAAAAGCTTCTCCTTCGTTCTTTTATTTTAGTACGTTGTGCAATAGTAACGGTTGTCGCCGATGTTGCCAGCGCTGCATAAATTTCCTAATGTGCGTACGTACAATTTGGAAATTTTTACTACTCATTACTTTATTAAGGACCGCTGATCGTAAAAACATTCCTTAACACTTCAACTGCCATGTGTACCATATATGGACACAGGACATTTCAATTCTCTGCCATGTGTACACATAGAAAGATTCCCGGTCATGTGTGTGTGGCTGGTACACATCTACCGTGCACTATATTACATTGAATTTTTTATTTTTTAGAGACATGGCGAATAACAGAATGAACTTGGAATGAACATTTATTTTTTCAGATTTTCTCATGAAAATACAGAGTCATAAGCAACAGCAACTTATTTTTTAAAAGAAAAGTAACTAAATATAAGCGTCTGTTATTTTTTTTCAGATTTTCTTTGTGGAAACATGGCCAGTGACTAGGCATTAGTAAAAATATCGCAATGCTGAGCCTTGTGTACCATAGGTGGACACGGCATTTTTTACAAAAAAAAAACACATTTTGTTTTATGACTTTTACTTGGAACAAATACAAATAAAGTGATTACGACTAAAAAAATATTCTGGCCTACTGGACCCGGTACATTTTCCTCTCCAAATTAGCGTGGCAGTTAAAGTGTTAACTGGCCGTCAACCGGCTCGTTCACCCTTTTCTATTAGAAACTACGCCTATGGCACGGTTGCATTATTGTAAAGCGCTACACTGCATGATGATAAAACAAATAGAGAGTGCATTTAAAACGGTCTTTTGAATTTATAGTATCTGCTGAACTGCATAATGTAATGGTTATTATTCGTATTATTACTGTAAGTTATTGCATATTAGATGGCACAAAAAAATGTTGATTATGATGGCTGTTTATCTGCACTTAGAAAACCTAGCCTCAAATGAAATGGTTATCTAGATTCGATATCTATGAGAACATGACCATACATATAATAGTTATTTATACACCAAGGTAGAAAAGAATATCAAAATAACCCAGAGACTTCAGCCGTGGTAGTAATATTCTTTATACAGTGTGTTACAATTTGCTCCACCCCACTCCACCGCTACTTTCGTATTCCTAGGACGATTTAAGAAATTTTTTTCTCATAATATACAACCTAAAATTATCTACTTTGTCGAGCAAAACAAAATTATCAATCACAATGTCTTAGCCTACTGCGATCACAAAAACTCCAGCCAAATTGAAGAAAATGGATTAGTCATTTTTTCTCAAAAATTTTGATAATGGCAATCGATTCGGACTCGTCAATTTTTAAACCAATATATCATAAGGGGTGTTTTTTATCAACACAAATAACTATTTCACCACTAGCAAAATGTTTCAATCATTAGGTATAGTTCTGTGAAACTGAAATATGGGCTTATTGTCACTATGAAAGCACTTCTCTTCAATTCCAATTAAATCTAGTAGCCATGATCATGACAGAATAAATATGACAATTCATTATTGATAGTGACTATGACTGATCTCTGTGGATACCTACTAGATTAGAGTTCCATTCCTGCGAATCTCGCATCTAGTAGTAAATAAAATTACGATAACTACCTTAGTAGAAAAAAAACAGGTTACGCCTTGAAAATGAGGAAATAATAGTAGTTTCTATATCTAGTAAAAGAAAAAATGATATTCAAGCCGAAGAAAATAAGAAAAATGAATAATTTTCACAATAATAGGTTTCAATCTAGATTCTGGGTGTTTTGAAAAGGAAATAAAACACAAGCACAGATTAACAAATGTTAATCTGTGACACAAGTAACGAATTAGTACCGATATAAAAATACACAATTTATTGATGACTGTTTAAAAATGAATATGAAATGAAAATCTTCTTTCAGCACATCTGAAAAAAGTGCATAAAAATACAAAACCTTTTTCTCAAGATTGAACTGTGCGCCACAAAGGAGTCACACAACATACTCCATGATTTTTGCAAATGGCTACTTCCGTTGAAAAACATTGTGTGGACCCTATAGTAAATTTGCCTTCCCTCTCTTCGTCTTTTTATTCAATGGAAACAATCGAGCATCAAGAGGTCTATTTCCGTTCGATCACCGCTCGTTCGTGACCACGAATTTGACCTTCGAACCCTCAAGATATCGCTATTCTGTGTCTCGAGTCTCGACTCGTATCACCTCGTATCGCTGAGACTCGATCTCCACTTACGAAGTCACCAGAAGCACAGAATAAGCTACAATCAAAAAGGGAACTCCCGTCAAGAATCGGCCCTAAAAAATACATCCAAGAAATCTGTGTTCAACTTGCCACAAATGTTTTTGGAATATTATTACTTCATTTTCATAGGACTTCAAAGCACTGAGAAGGTAGGAGGTGGATACTATCGATATAAAATATTGTCTCTGACGTCACAGGTGAAACAGAGACCTGTCTCAGTGAAGACGTACCGACAAATCTAAATTGAATCGAATTGACCTCTCCAAACATGATTTTCAGAAAATAAAAGTTGGCACGGTTTTCGTGGTAACACTATAAAATTTCAATTCTACGAAGTCTAATTGGAGTATTATTGACCTGTCCTTCCGAATAAAACAACATTAACTGGCCACTAACCGATCTTAAGTATCAAAGTAGGATCTGTGCCTTTGTAAATTTCACTCTTGAATCATCTGAATCATCGACCACCGAAACATTATTTATTTCACATTGTGACGGAGATTTTCTGTTTATAAATAGAACGTTCTATAGTAGGTATTACCAGGAACCAGATATCCCGTCTGCTTGGTACTGGAACGTTAAAATTATATTGGGATCAGGCTGTTTAGTGTTTATTCCTATTCAATCTGTCCATAAAATTACGAAGCTATCTATAAAACAGGGTTTGGTAATAGGAATGAACAGTTTTTTTAAGGTTGCTATGGAATAAAATATTTGATAAACGTCAAACAGTGATCAAAATTATTGTACGCAAACCTCAATGTATATATATCGCACGATGTCGCAGCAATGCATATAGAAGAAGGCGGTTACCATCTTGAATAGAGATGTAATCTTTACAAACTAAAAGAGTTATTTTCTACAATCTAGAGAGCAGTGCTTCTAATCTGCACTAGAAGATCATTATAGCACTCTGTACACCCCATATGACAAAGTCTCGGACAAAGATGATTTTTGAGTCCGAGAAAATATAAAAGATTAACTTCTTTGAATTATTTCATATATTTGCAGGCGCCATGTTGGACTGAAACTTATTCACAGGATGTTCTCGATCGGTTCTCGATGTACTAAATAAAAATCTGAAGTAAGTTCCTTCCTACCTCTTTCAGTTTCCGAGGTGATATGAAAACGAAAAAAACCGCTGAAATGATGGAAAAGACTCTCTTTTCGTTGGGAAAATACGTGAATCTTCTCTGTTATAGATCTATGGTTTCTGCCACAATTTCCGTCGAACAAAATAGAACAAATTGTTTCACCCTGTATTACAATTCAGATTCGAAAGAAACGGTTAAATAAGAAAGGACAGAGGAATTCAGAAGAATCCTATAGCATTATCTTCTACCAATCAGCTTACGTGTATTGATTCACGGTAAATAATTGAAATAATTGAACAATTACGTAATAAAACGAGGACGACAGGTGATTACCTATCACCAAATAGGGACGTAGAATTGCATTTGCATCGACCAACTAATAGGACTAATAATAAATGCATTCAAACAGATATGCAGCGTTGCCAATTCGAATTGAAAAGTACTACTAGGAAACCAACGAATATTTCTCGGTCCGCATCTACACCAGATTCGAATCCAATCGATCGTTCCTCAAATTGATGAATGTACCTATTTGTCTCACCTGATCACAGATAATATCCCATTTCTTTTCGTAATCGTAACTTTTTAGGAGTTTCGCTTTGTCTGGAGGTAAATCCATGGAAGCCTGAAAAAAAAAGGAAAAAACATGTCATAGGCTATTATAATTGTACTATAATCAATGCAAACAATCAATCACTGACTATTATAACTGAAACCTTGATGAAACATTCGATATTTGAATGACTTTTCACCGCTTTTCACAAATGGTGTTCGTGAATATTGTTTAGTACGCCCCTGAGATGATTAAAGCTATCCGCGAATACGAATTTCTGCAACTAATTTGGCAAGCACAACGTAAAAAGTGAAATTTGCGGCGCCAGTTGAACTTTGTACAATAAATATAGCATGTCAGCAGGAATTACAGTGATTCAGGTTCACTATACAGTATGCAATTGCTGAAGAATAATCATTGAAACAAAAAAGACCAAACAATTTTTTTTATTCATATTATATTTATACTTCACTTATACTCGGGCAGAGAATTCTGAAGCTCTGCCGTTCTATAGACAAGCGTTTTGGTACAGAGTTGCTCGGCCAATTGTATTTTTAAACCATTGAGGAAATCATCAAAGCACCAATATGAAATGTTTGGAAGTTATGTGAAAAAGATGAGTACAGAAGGATAATAAGTCTTACGTTGTCCTATTATCCGTTTTCCCGTAGGAATGAAGTATTTTCCCGCGGTAAAAAGTAGCCTATGTTCATCAGGAATTTCATTGCATTTCACGAAATTTCATGCTATTTCAAGGATTTCAAGGATTTCAATGCATTTCATGTTATTTCAGGAATTGAATTTCATTTTATTTCATGTAATTTCAAAATATTTCAAGGCATTTCAAGGTATTTTATGGCATTTCAAAGAATTTCATGGCATTTCAAAGAATTTCATGGCATTTCAAGGAATTTCAAGTCCTTTCAAAATATTTCAAAAAATTTCAAGGTATTTCATGGCATTTCAAGGTATTCCATGGCATTTCAAGGAATTTGAAGGCATTTCAAGGTATTTCATGGCATTTCAAGGAATTTTATGGCATTTCAAGCAGTTTCATAGTATTTAAAGGTCGAGTTTAAGGTATTTCAAGGTATTTCAGAAATATCATTTCATTTTATTTCATGTCCTTTCAAAATATTTCAAAAAATTTCAAGGCATTTCATGGCATTTGGAGGTATTTCATTGCATTTCAACGAATTTCAAAGCATTTCAAGGATTTCAAGGCATTTTATGGTATTTCATAAATGGCATTTCATGACCTTCTCCACGCATTTCCCTAGTGGTAACCCGCTTGACGGTGAGCACAATTGCGTAATGGCAAATATCTTCTAATAAATATAATATACAATATTCGGTATCGTATGAGTAAATTTTTCATGGAAAAGTTTCGGGAAATACAATGTCGTGTGTCAATAGTTATTGCTTACTCTGTAAGTGTAAGACACCGATAACAGAAATAATTTTTCGCGATTGGGTGATATTGTTCGTGCCATTGCACGGATTTTGGTGGTATACTATCACCTCACCTATCAGGGTATCAGTATCTAGTTTGATATAAAACACCGAACACATCAGAAATAATTGTTCGATATTGGTAAACCATTTATAAGGAAAGCTATCTTTGTGGCATGCCACTTCCTTGCATTTTGTGGTAGGTATTTTTGTTGACATCAAGAAAGATGTGCCTTGAAATCGTTGCTATGGCGTTCGAGCAAAAAATAATACCTGAGAGATTGAAACTCCCACTTTGATCCCTCAAAAATGAGGGAATAAAATTAGGTACCCTCGTAGGTTAAAGTGCATAAACGACATACAGAAGACATTGCCGTTCTATTTCGTACTTAGTACATAGTGGATGTTTATCATCAGTTGCATACCTACTTACTCAATTTTTCTTTTGTTTTATTCACGATTATGCACGTATTTACCGGATGTAACGGCGTAACATACAGGATATAAGCTATATCGACATGGAAGGTGGCGTTTTTGTACACCAGGCGCGTATAAAATTAGTGAAATTATTGTTTATTTCATTATTTATAGACGCAGAGATGTGTAATTTTATCAGAGGGATTTCTCAGAATAGTCGGATATTTTCAATAAACGCGGCGATAAAGATAATAACGATGGTCATTTAGCGTTGTTTGCGACAAACGATAAGATTTTATTTGTGAAAATGGAGTAATATTTGAATATCTGACCTAATAGTGAGTGGTGACAATCACCTTTTAGAAAAATATTATCCATTTAATTTAACAGCATCAACCAAAAGTTTTAAATTAAAGTCTGAATTCAAAGAACAGAGTCTGAATTCAAAGGAAAAGTCTGAATTCAAAGAAAACAGTCCGAATTCGAAGAAAAACTCTCAATTCAAAGAACAAAGTCTGAATTCAAAGAAAATAGTGTGAATTCGGAGTGAAAACTCTGAATTCAATGAACAAATGAGTCTGTATTCAAAAATCAAAGTCTGAATTTGGAGAAAATAGTCTGATTTCAGAATGAAAAGTCTGAATTCAAATAATTTTTTTTTTATTGCTTGGAGCGCACGAAATGTTCAAAGAACATCGTGCGTTCCTAGGGAGGATATAGGGACAGGAGGTAGGTATTGGAATTTTTTTTGAACTTTTGGAGATTATATGTTGTTGGAAATACTTCCACAGGCAATGAATTCCAGAGCCTAGCCGTTCTATGGATGAAGGAGTCTTGATAAAGTGCTGTTCGACATCTTTCGAGGTTGACAACGAAAGGATGTGCTGACTGGGCTTGTCTAGTTCGTCTGACTGGTATTGCTAGTGAAGGGATGATAGCAGAGATTTCCGAACATTTCCCGTGGAAGTATCGATAGAAAAGTGAAAGGTCGCCGACCTTTCTACGGTGTTCCAATGATGTCAAAGAGTGAGTGAGTGTGGCGTCACCCACCAGGCGAATGGCTCTTCTCTGGATGGAATCTAAGAGCATCAGCGCATGTTTTGGTGCTGAACCCCATATGCGGGAACAGTATTTTAGAACAGGCCGTATCTGCGCTTTGTAGATCATGAGAAGCTGTTGAGGTGTAAAGTAGCTTTTCGCACGGAACAAGAATCCAAGTTTTTGTGAAGCAGCTTTTGCGATGGATCTGACATGATTATCCCATGAAAGAGTGTTGCTGATGGAAATACCGAGCATAGATATGGTGGGCTTGGTGGGGATGGTGGAGCCAGACATTACAATATCGGGCATACTGAGTTCCGCCTTTCTAGAGAAGATGCTGAATTCAAAGGATAGTCTGAATACAAAAAGTTATAAAAATACCCTGCACTGGAAAAAAATAACACCAGTTCACACCAGCTAATACTTGGGTGTCCTCTGAGGTCCTGATTATTTTAGTGAGAATTAACACTGATATTTTTAACACCATCATAGGATGTCATTCGTTCACACCTACAGTGAAGAACTAGACTAGAATACCTAGTGCTAATTTCATCGGTTCGTGTTATTCCACATCAAAAAGGTGTACTATATAATCATTTGGTGATTATTTTGACACAGAATTGTTGCATTTTTGCTTTTACTGATAATATTATGTAAATATTTTTCGGATATTTTTCTGTTGTGAAACTGCTGAGGAGCGTTGCTTTCTTGTCTGCATCTGAGTGTTGATAACACGATTCTGATATTTCTGATATACTTACATCAGTATCCAGTGTATGATATGATCCATTGTAGTGAGAGCTGAGACTCTACACTACATCTCTGAGCTAATACTAATTGAAGGCTGTCGAGAGACGAGCGTCGAAGTAGCGCTAGTGTCGCCATCTATCAAGATATTAACTCAATATTTTTCTGTACACAAAATTAATTCTTTGATATTCAATTTTATGTTTCAATTTGGTTAGATATAAGTACTCTATATAGATACTGTCTGTAGGTTAATCGAGGAGGTGGTATATTCATTATTCCAAATTTTTTCGTCGTATAACTGAAAACTGCAAGACATATTGTACGACTTCGCAATTGAAAAAATCTCTTCATGTTGAAAACGGGAGCAGAATCGGTCCCGAAACGTCCAAAGATAAGTGAAAATTTGATATTTTTTCCATATACCTTTATTTCTCTTCTCCAAAAATTTTTCAATACAAATTGTCACTGACAAGCTAGTGAATTTTTCTTTTAGGCTCTCTGATAGGAAAATTCTGTAAACGCAGTGACATTTTGGGGCAAATCATCTGATTTGTCCTTACTACACGTATATTGAAATAATATTCATATTTTCATTTTATAGAAACGAGGAGAGAAAATCCCAAAAAATTTGGAATAATGAATACTCTATATAGCTTCGCAATCTCAAAATCATCATGTATAATTATTGATGAATCAACTTAAAATTTATTTGACGCATTATTTCAACGAAATCATCCGTTCTTATTGTCACCTATCCATATGGATACCAGAATTAGTGGATGATGATGATATACCTGAAACATTTTCATCAATTCAGCCTAGTTACTTTAGCAATAAAGTTCAGCAATATTTTTTATTTTTTCCGTTACGCATTCTGCGATAACAATTTTCCAGTGTGTTTATTGAGGATACTCAAGGAAGAAATGTACTAATGGAAACAGATTTTCCGGATGTCCAGGGCCGGACAGGGGCCAGCAATATTTTATAACTTTCTTATTAGGGATCCTGCCACTTACATATTTCCGTATGTCATTCGGAAAGACAAAACGAAGAAATGTACAGTATCAGAATATTTAATCCGGGCGTCCAGGGCCGGACAGGGGCCAGCAATATTTTATAACTTCCTTATTAGGGATCCTGCCACTTACATATTTCAGTATGTTATTCAGAAAGACAAAACGAAGAAATGTACAGCATCAGAATATTTAATCCGGGCGTCCAGGGCCAAACAGGGGCCAGCAATATTTTATAACTTTCTTATTAGGGATCCTGCCACTTACATATTTCAGTATGTTATTCAGAAAGATAAAACGAAGAAATGTACAGTATCAGAATATTCAATCCGGGCGTCCAGGGCCGGACAGGGGCCAGCAATATTTTATAACTTTCTTATTAGGGATCCTGCCACTTAC